TGCTCTCTCTCTCTTTCTCGCTCTCTCTCAGCTCTCTTCAAACCCCACTCTAGGGCACAGGACATTTATTAAGCAGTTCCGTGAATCATTTTCAGTGGGAGGGAGGAGGAGAAAGCAGCAGTGGAAAGAGGGAGAAATCAAGCTGAGATGCACACCCAATGGCAGTCATGGCCAATCCCATGGGAGCTAGAATTTGCCTTCAGAGTTTCCCAGAGCTGGGTTGAGATGGTCAAGTCTTTATGCTTCCACATATATCAGTCATTGGAAGAGGGGAGGCGAAGCATTTCTCTGTGGCTGAGGCAATCCCAGAAAACTGCCTGCTGACAGCACTCCCAGCAATCGGGACACCAAGCCCCATTGCAGGGACATCTGAGGAAGCGCACTGCGGTGTCCCAAAGCCCCTCCTGCATTTCGTTTCTCCACACTCTTACTGCTACTCCCAGCAGCTCCCACGGTGCCATGCTGGCTTCTCCTCTTCCTCTTCCTCTCGCTCGGCCTCCTCTGGCTTCTCTTCCTCCTTCTCCACCTCTTTTCTTCCTCTTCTTCCCTCTTCTCTTCCTCCTCCTCCTCCTCGTTCTCTTCTCCTTCTCGTTTTCCTTTCTCCTCCTCCTCCTATTGCTCCTCTTCCTTCTCCTTCTTCTCCCCACCCCCTCCTCTTCCTCCTTTTTCTTCTTCTGTCATTTTAGGTATTCAAACTTTCTTAAGTTAAAGCTTGAAAAGTGAGGAATTAAAGAGGGCAAACCAATCAAAATCAAGCCGTTTGATTTTTCAAGCTCATTCAATTTAAAGTTCTCTAATGCCCCTTCCCAGGCCTGACCCTTGGACTGGAGACTGGCAGGCTGGATGGGTAATGTGGTCTCTATTTTTTCTCTCCTTGCTCCACTTTCTCCCCTATTCCCCCCGGTACTCCAGGTCCTCCCCACTGCAAGGCTCTTGTGGAACTTGAAGGCCGTCTAGCGGTTGAACTACTTTAAGGATGGATGCTCCTGAAAGTGCAGAGCATCTTTGAGGGGGAAAAGAACAGATGCTGGTTGAGAAAATAGCTCAAAGGGTCAACTGGTCCGGTTCTGATTTTGGTTCTGCCACACACCTCTCACCATGTCCTACATTCCCAGCAGAGGCGGGGCTGGATAGAATCAGAGGTCCTCTGTCACTACCCATCTTTGGACCTTAGCTGTCCTATCTCTAAATGGGGTGGTAATGTGGTGTGAATAGTAGTTTCCTGTGGGTGCATCCAACTCTTTAATTCATTGAGTTGGCAAGGGCTCAGGCAGGAGTGGGGCTGCTGGTGCACTGGCTGGCCCTGATGCTCGCCACACTTGCACACACACTCTCCCCTCTCCTGCACATAGTGGGTCCCTCCTACTCTCACCCGTGAGAGCTGTACATCTGCCCATCCCCCCAACAGCCACCGCCTCCCAGCGCAGGGTGGAAGCTCTTTCCCAGCACAGATGGGCATCAAAGCACCACAGGGATGTTCTGAGTCAACAAGGGCAATTAACACAATAAAGACACCACAGTTATACTTGCCCTGTGCCAGGGACCATGCTCAGCTCTTCAGCGTTCTATCAACCCATTCACAACAAGGCATGATAGTTATTACAAGTACTCTATTTTATAGATGAAAAAAACTGAGGCCCAGAGGTTACTTACCTTTTGAACCCAGTCCACTCACTAGAAAACGGAGAAGCCCGGTTTAGACTCCAGACTATCTGACTCCAGAGCCTATGCTTTTCGCTATCATGAAAGTCAGCTTCCTACCTGAACCTTAATTGCTGTTTTTGTCCAGACAAGCAGCTTGCCTTTTATTGCTCATTTCTTAGGCCAAAAAAAGTAATAGTCATTTAGTGCCTACTGTGTGCCAAATACTATGCCAAGTGTTCCACATCCAACCTTCCCAATTAGGTATTTTCTCCCCCCACTTCAGTGATGAGCAAATGGAAGTTCAAAGAAGCAGAGGAACTTGCATGAAGTTACATAGCTCATAATGGGCAGCAAAACAAAGTCAGCCTAAGCCTGACCCTGCTACTAAAACCAGCCAATACCCTAACACATTTTGGTGCCAACTGACTGGAGGGTGATTCAAAGCATATGTAGAATCCTTGCCTGCAGCCTGCAAAGCTCATTAGCTCTCACATTCCTCCCCACTGTCCCTAACTCATTGTCACCTCTGCAACTTCACTCACACTGGCTCTCCATACCCCATGCCCTCCCTGCTCCTTTCTGCCTAACCAAAGGCCCCCTCCATCAAGAAACTTCAAGGACTGCCTCCTTGCCTCCGTGATCTCTCTAGAGCAGTGACTTCTAACTTTGATTCTACGCTCTCAAAGAGTGCCTCATTTTCCTAATTTGTGAAATACCCTTTTGAATTGCTAATCAACTTTTGTCCTTCCAATTTTTAAAAGATGATGCCTTGTTTCTAAAGGCTCTGAAAGTTCCTAAATGATAGAGACATGTATGCGAGACATGACATACTGCATTCTTTTGTGCATGACACCTGACATACCGCATTCTTTCCAGCACATCCCCTCCTCTGAGGGGACTTTCCTAGTGAGTCTATCTAAAACAGCAGCTCCCGTCACCCTTTGTCCTCTTGCCCTGCCTTATTTTCCCTGCTGGTGTTCTCTAATAGAGCTTTTTGTGACTTTCTTTGTTGTCAGTTTTCCCCATTAGAAGGTAAGTTCCACGAAGGCAGGCACTTGTCTCTACTACTGGATGCCAAGAATCTAAACCAGGTTCTGGTTCACGGTAGGGGCTTAAATTTTTTTTGAATGACTGAACTCAGTGACTGAGCAAAGTAACAGGCCCTTAGCAGGCAAAGGGTCACAGCTGCTGTCACTGGGGTAACACGGGGATGGTGACAGTGCTGGTGTGAGTTGATGGGAAGAGGCTCCTAAGAAGCATCAAGACGAGAAAACCCAGCCTAGCATTTGTGCTAGATACTTTTGTCCTCTCTGCCCGTCTCACTCTGTTCTGTACCCTGGGAAGATGAGCTTTACAGATGACCTTTTAGCTTCTGGTTGAGTTCAGCCAATGGGAGACGTCATCAGTAGCTCAGAAAGTAGAAGGAGAGAGAAGTTGGGGCACTTATTCCCCCAGCTCCTTCCTTGCCGTGTTTCTCTACTGAACGTCTCACAGGGTCCCACTCCCATCTGGAGGTCTCTCCCACAACCATAGCTCTCCCAGGTCTGGGACTGTCCCCCCCCCCCCCGCTTCTCCCTTCCCCTAGGGGCAGTAACTCATCCCACCGGTTGCTAGCCTTAAAGTGCAATATCCCTCGTTAGTTGCCTTGTCCTGTCTAGTTCTTTTCAAATAACCCCTTCATTAAACTCTTTTAATCATTCTTCTGAGGCAGGAGGGACCCTTCCAGACATAGCTCAGAAAGCTTTTTGATGAAGAGCAAGAATGGGAGGTAGAGTCAGAGAGAGGGAGAATCATGGCAGAGCAGAGTTTCTGCCTGGAAATCCATGTGACAAGGGGGTTCGGCCAGTCCCAGGTGAAGGGCTGTCCCCTAAGATAACCCTGAAGACACGGCCAAGTCTGGCTCCCAAAGGAGATTCCATCGGTCATCTCTGAGTTTTTCCCTACCTCCCCCAGTGAGAGTGGGGATTGGGTGAAAGGATCAGCCTGGAGAGGATATTTGTCATGCTCTGCTTCCGCCCCAGATCTTGAACCAGCCAAGTCCACCCACGCTACAGAAACACAGACGCCTCTCCCTGTGGTTGGCATCCAGCTCTGGACTAGCCCCTCTCTGCTGCCAACCATATTTCTGTTTCTGTGTTGTCCTGTTCTTGACCCTTGGCTTTTAGTTTTTGTTTTGTGTGCGTATGTTTTTCTTTTTCTTTCTTGGCCTTGATCCTGCCTTTTGTACTTAGTGACTAAGCGTAGTTTCTCTAATTTGACCTTTGATTCTCTCTAAGGACTTTGGCTGACACTTCCCACTCTGTTTCCACTCCTGGATGCACTGGTAGAGTTCATGGCCTAACAGCCCAGGATGTGAGTGTGTGATTTAAGCGTGTGCATGCACACGTGTGAGTGCACATGTTGGGCCGGGGAAGGGAGACGTCCAATTGCCTGAGTCTGATCTTTGCTTCCCGCACTTATGAGATGTGTGACCTAGGACAAGTTATACATATCCTTTCTATCCTCAGTTTCCTAATTTGTAAATTTATAAAATGGAAAAAAATAAAATAAAGTACCTACCTTATAAGGTTGCTGTATGGCTACTGCTTCTGTTCAGTATATATTTCTAGTTGCCATCCCCCTACCCCACAACCTTTGGAACTCATGGTAGGGTGGTACCTCCTGGCCCCTTTGTGAATGGGAAGGGTCATGAGATTAGTTCTGCCCAATACGTTGTGCTCAGACATGATATATGTTGTTTAATTGCTGATGTGAGATCCTCTGGAACTTTCTTTTCCTCTGCTACAAATGCCATGTTTCAGATCCCAGAGTGAGGACCACGTGGAACAGAGCCCCCATGCCACCCCAGCAGACAGGGAGAAGAGAGAGAAATAAGCCTTGTCATTGTGAACTGCAGAGATCTGGGGACTGTTTGTTACCATGGCGTAGCCCAGCCTGCCCTGACCGAAACAGTCGTAGGGACTGAGGTCGTTCATGTAAAAATCTCTCCGCATAATGTTCAGCACACAGGATATACTCACCAAATATCAGTTATTATTGTTTGTATGACTCTGTGTGTGTGTGTGTGTGTGTGTGTGTTTTCTTTGTTAAACCAAACAATTTGAATAACCTTTTGTCCTCGGCACTTGAGAAGTGACGCGGGGGCCGGGGTTGCATGGTTCTCAAAGATCAGGACAATTTCATGGTAGAGGTTCCTTCGAGGAATTCTAGAAAAGGTGCTCTGACCTCAGTGTCACTTACAGACTTAGTAAACATGCCCCAGACAGGTGAACAGGCAAGTCATGTCATAAACTCAACTTCGTCGACACAGGCTGACGGGGCAGCCCACCCAGAGAAGCCCCATTGGCGATGGCTGAGAGACAGAGACAGGCTGTGTTGGATCATTCTTCTGCACCGTCTGAATGATGGTCTGTGGGGACCCCAGAAGACCTCCAATTAATTATTACTGGAGAAGATGAAATCATAAACAAAATTCCTTGTAATAAATTTTTCAAATGAGAGCACATGTTTTATTTACGGTACTGGCCCATTTTGGGCTTTAAATCTATGAACAAAAACAAACATGCTTTTTTATCAAACAAACAGGAAAAAAAAAGGATGCAATAGCCTTTCTTTCTCTCCTTGCCAAGGAGGACATGAGCTCCGAGCTCTGGGCAGGAAGGCAAGCCCCGGCTCTGTTGGCTAGAAGAATAAATGGACTCATTTTCTTCGCAGAGGAAGATTTAGGCTATAATGATTCTTCCACACTGAGAAGGAAAAAAGAAGGGAAGGAAAGGGAAAAACAAAGGCTCCTGCTGAGGTTCAGATGGTTTTACCTCTTAATTCAGCCTGACACCTGGGTAGAAAATGGAACATATGCAAAATGTAAACATCTATAACTAAAGCAGCTACCAACAGGCATGTTTTTATAGCTAGAAATCAGAAATTCACTTGATCTGGGCATTCTGCAGAAACATGGAAAGGAGTGGGCTCAGGTTAAGCGTCTGCCCTGCCCTCTGTCCACCTGCAGCCTAGCAAAGTTGTTCTAAACCTCGGGCACGAGGCCCCATGGAAACTCACACCCATTATCCCAGATTCAGATCTGTGGAGCCCCAAAATGCTATTGCCCAAACGTCTATAAAGAGTTATTTTCTGACAAGTATTGGTGATACATTGGGGAATGCAGGTCTGCTGGGATGATGGAAAGGTCCGTAAAGACACTCAGGCACCAGTCTGGGAAACCGTGAGGGGTTAGGTTGTTCTTTTCCAGAACGCAGTGTGAGCATAAACCAAAGAGCTATATATAGGGCTATGTCCCTGTGTTCATTTCCTGTGGCTGGTGTAACAAATTGCCATAAACCCGGTGACTTAAAATAACAGGAACTTATTCTCTCACAGTTCTAGATGCCAGAAGTCTGAAATCAGTACCAATGGGCCAAAATCAGAGCAGGTGGGGCATGCTCCCTCCAGAGACTCTCGGGTGAATCCTTTCTTCCTCTCCAGCTCCTGGTAGCTGCCAGCAGCCCCTGGCTTGTAGCCATATCGTCTCATCTCTACCTCCATCGTCTTTTTGCCTTTGTTCCCATTGTCTGTATCTCTTCTCCCTTTTATAAGAACACTTTGTGATTATACTCAGAGCCCACCCAGATAATCCAGGGTAATCTCCCCCTCTCAAGATCTTTAACTTAATTACATCTGCAAACACGGCTTTTCCATATAAGGTAATGTACAGTTGTCCCTTGGCATCCATGGGGGATTGGTTCCAGAGTCCCCTCGGATACCACATCCCACGGATGCTCAAGTCCCTTATGTAAAACGAAGGTGCGTTTGCAGGTAGCCCATATTTGCATGCAGGCCACAGCAGGGTGTGCCTACACCTCACTTAATTTGTGTGATTCAGTGTAGTTCTTGATGCTTGGTAAATTCAAGTTTTGCTTTTTGGAGCTTTCTGGGATATTTTTAAAAAAATAGTTTTGAGCCACGGCGGGTTGAATCTGCAGATGCAAATCCATGAAGATGGAGAGCAGACTCCAGTCTTCCCCTTGTGTGGGGAAAACCCAGTGCTTCCCTACTGGGTGTTTCTCTCCTGTGAGCCTCCTTTACTGCTCATGCGACACACTTCGCCTCTGGACACCAGGCGTGCAGAGGTTCCCTCGACACCAACCACTTCTCTGGGACACCAGCTGGGTGTGCTCCAATGTAACTCAATTCTGACACCATCTACCTGGAGAGAGCATTCGACCCCACGGGTTAAGGGCTCAGTCTCACAAGACTGCCCCCTCCCCCCCGTCACACCCTTCAGCACTTCAGACACCAGTCACAAGCAAGGTGATCACCTGTGTGTCTGGCCCACTGGCTATAGATTGGAGTTCCAACATCCGGCTTCGTGGGTTTGATTCGTTTGCTAGAGCAGCTCACAGAAGTCAGGGGAGCCGTGTCAGGATGCACACCTGAAGGTAAGGCGGGAAAAGAAAGAGGAGACAGAGATTCCATCTCGCTGGAAAAATAAAGAGGATCTTCATAGAAGAGGTGGCATTGGAGACGGGTCGTGTGGAGTGACAAGGATATGTCGGGTTGGGGGAACAGGACGAGCAAAGGCCCAGGAAGAAGGAAGGGCGAGGCTGGGTGGGATCACTTGGAAGAGCCCAGGTGGGGTGAGGTGTCGCACATGTGAATGAAGTGTACTGGAGAGAAATCTGGAGGTGGGGATGGTGTAGGGGACTCTTGGATGTCAGAAAGGGAAGTCTGGCCCTGGCCGGTTTGGCTCAGCAGTTAGAGCGTCGGCCTGCGGTCCTGAGAGACCCGGGTTCGGTTCCCGCTAAGGGCATGTACCTCGGTTGCAGTTTGTCCCCGGCCCTGGTTGGTCGTGCGGGTGGCAGCCACTCGATGTGTCCCTTCACGTCGATGTTTCTCACTCTCTCTCCCTTCCTCTCTCTCCCTCCCATTCTATCTGTACCAAAAATGGAAAAAATATCCTCGGGTGAGGATAAAAAAAAAAAAAAAAAAAAAAAAGAAAGGTAAGTCTGGGCTTCATTCTGTAAAAAGTGACCTACTGCATGTTGCCGGCATTGATAGACCATTCAGGACACTCTCTCGCCACTTAGCAAGAAAAGGAGGGGCATCTTGACATGTGCATCAGCTCCCTTTTTATTGGTTCTAGGGAAGGGAGGTGGGGTAGCCTGAAGGCAACAGAACAAGAGAGATCATTAATATTTATTAAACACTTACTGTATGCCAAATACTGATTTTTATTTGCATTTTCTAATGCAATCCTCACAATAGTCTTATGAGATTGGTACCAATGCTACCTTTACTGCATAGGCAGGAAGACAGAGGTAGAGACAAGCTAAGTAACTTGTCCCTGGAACAGCTAGGAAGTGGTGAGGCTGTTAGTGGTGAGGCTGTGCTCAGCACTTGGCCGCTCTGCTGGCAGGGTGGGGCGGGGCAGGCGAGACTGGCAGTCAGCTGGAGCCTGGGGTGAAGTCCTAATTCCATCAGAGTCCTCTGCCCCTTCTGCGGAATCCTGACTTCCTTCGGTTTGGGCCTATCCATGTGTTTCCGAGCCTGCGGGCAGGGATTCCGTGGCTCACCTTGAAGCTGCTGGTTGGTTATTTCTGTCCCTGGTTTTGAATCTCCAAGTTCCCATCTCTTCAAAGACCTATATCTTTAAGTAGCCCCATTAAGGTCCTAATTATTTATTTGTGAAGCATTTTTCAGGCATAGATCGAGCTACTCTGTGGTGTTTACTCATTAATAATAGCAATAGCTAACACAAATACCTATAGGTATTCTCACAACAGCCTTATAGCCCAGGATGTCTGGGGGATAGGGCCACGGGAGGTGGAGAGAGGAGGGGTTGTGAGTTATGATCCTGAGGACAGGCGGTGGAGACCTGGACTGCCATGCCCAGTGGTTTGGACTATTCTCTGTAGAATAGAGATGGAATATAGAATAGATCATAGAATCCAAGGGACAGGATTGAATTTGGAGTTTGGGAGTTAGGGGGCGGCAGTTAAAACCACAGGAGTGGATGAAACTAATTTCTTAAGAGAAAAAAAGTATTGAAGAATGAAGATTTATTCCAGAGGTAGGCGAAGGGCTCCATAGCACCCTGCCCAGGCTGACCCTCATGCTAAGTTATTAAAAACTCACTTCTCTGAAGCACATATTCTGTCGGACACTAATCTAAGCACTTCATATGAGTAGCTCACTTAAGCCTCATAACTGTCCCACAAGGTAGGTTAGCTAGAATGTGGCTGGGCCATCGCCATTTGGCCACGCAGCCTCCCTGCAAGGGTGACAGCTAATGTGTGTGAGGGTTTCACAGGTGTCAGGTGCCTATTTGCACTACTTTGTTTGGTCCTTATAGCATCATAAGAGATATCGTAAGAGATGAGAAGTAGGCACGCCAAGGGGGACATGCCAGTCACTTAACTTGACCAAATTGGAACAGATATTAAGCAGCCAGGTTTAATTTTTTTTTTTTTTTTGGTACATGCCCCTAGCGGGAACTGAACCTGGGACTCTCTGGTCCGTAGGCCAACACTCCATCCGCTGAGCCAAACTGGCCAGGGCTAAGCAGCCAGGTTTAATCCAACCTTTCTGACTCGAGGGGCTGGGTATGTGATGACTTCACCCTGCTGACCTTGTAAGTGCTCCACAAAACTGGCTGAATCCATAAATGGGCAGTTGGAAGAGTCTTGCTTCTACAAATTGGCTTCTGCATCCCTGACAACCAAGCATCCCAGGCCAAGCACCCAGGTGGTAACTTCCCACAGAGGCTGAGGTATAGAGAGTGGCATGGCTGGTTTCTACCCACCCCCTCTGGTTTGCCTGCTTCTGTAGCAGGACCCTTGTAGGGCAGGGTGGGCATCAAAGGCTGCCGGGATGGGCTGGGCCAGTTGGCAGCCCCCTCATTGGCCAGGCTCCTTCAAAGGTCCCTGTGCCAGGCTCTGCTCCACTCCAAGGCTGAGCAGATCAAAGGGCTCTGCAGAAATTGGGTTTCTGGGCAGCCCTAGTTCTGATCATCAATTGTCACTTTGGCATTGACAGCAGAGGGTCCAGCATGACAGGACTGCCACAGCCAAGGCTCCTGGGGCGGACATCAGAGAGTCAGCTCCAAAAGCTGGGAAGCTGCCTGAGGCCCCTTCGGGTGTTGACCCCTGGTGGGAAGAAAGGGAAGAACTGAAGGGGCCCCTAAGGAAACTGTTTGGAGCAGGGTCACCAGAGGAAAGTTGCTGCAGGCAAGAACACTGACTTTGACATTTATATTCCTGCCATGGAACCATGAGACCTGGTTACCTACGTAGCTGGGAGAATTGTGGATGTGCCCACACATGTTCATTCTCATGAATATGCATACACACACACACCCCTAAATACACACACACACACACCCCTAAATACACACACACACCTGGATCACCCACCTGGATATTTATGCAATATAAACATACTTCCATATATGTAGATTCTCATACAAACTAAAACAAACAAAAATATTCATACTCACATACTCCGTCAGACTTGCCTACATACACATGTGCACACATACACAACCATACACACACCAAAGGATGCAAGTGCATGACCACACACATACATATGATTACTCATACCCAGGCATATACACCTTATGATATATTCTGCCAGCTTCCAGGACCTGAATCTGATGTTTTTTCTCTCAGAAGGGAGAGAATCATTCTTGAGTGCAGAAATAGCCTATTATACAGATCCTGGTGCCAGCCATTCTCCAACTCCTATGCAGAAAAATCTACAGGAAATGAAGCAAGCAGAATTTATATCAGCTCTTGGAAGGGACTTCCTGCACCTCAGTGCTATTAAAAAGATCAGTACATTATAATTCTGTTCACTGAGGAATATTGGGTCACCAGAAATTTGAACCAGTTGAAATATCAATTTTGACCCAGAAAATGCTTATATTCTCTGAATTAATAGCTTAAAAAAAAACACATAATGGTCTAGTTGTAAACCAGAGGAATTTATTATAATTTTGGGAGCTGAAAACATGTTAGCATTAAAGACAGTAACAGAGTTCAGTTTAGCTAAAACTTTCATAAGTATAAATAGAGCAGTTTGTGCGCTCTAGTTTGGATCTTGTTCCAGCACCCACTCTTTTCATAATCAAGGTCATATGAGTAAGGAAAATAGCACGGGGTCTTCTGAGAACTCGTCCCTGACCCTCTCCCCAGCAGACTGCAGTGAGTACCTGTGGGGCATAGTGTGGCTTGTCACCTGGTTTCCCTTCAGGTCTGAGGTGCTCACTACCCCACTGGCAGGAATGTTGGCCACAGAGCGCTCACAGCAGAATGTCTCCAGGAAGTGCCCCCAGAAGACGGAAGCCATCTCACCATGATTATACCCCTCCCTAGGGCGGCCGGCATCCAATGACTGGTTGATGTGAGGGTACCAAGGTCCAGCCCCTTTGCCTCTGGTGGGACAATAATGAATGGTTATCCCAGTTTCAGAACTTCCCGTGGGATCAGCTGAGGCCTCTGTTGCAACTACATCAGAGGGCTACTCTGCCCTCTCTCCGGTTCCTTCACGCCCTCACAGGTATCATGCCTGAGAGCACTCCCCCCAAACTGCATTCACCCGAATCGCAGAGACTCAGAATCTGTCTCCCAGCTTCCAAGTCCCCATGTATTCCTCTTTCTTACAGCCCATACGCAAACATCAGCCAGCTGATTACAAATATATCCCAGATCTCATCATACCTCATCCCCTCCACGGCTACCACTCTGGTAGGAGCCACCCTTAGCTCTCTGGCCCACTTGCCCTCTGGACCAGACTCAAAACTGATCGCCATACTTACGCTCTCCACCTCCATGAGGGTTAGCCTGTCAAAACATAATTGAATCACATCATTTATTTGCTCAAACATTTTCAGGGGCTTTTTATCTTATTAAAACAATGATACCATTTAAAAATCCAAAGTCCTTACAATTCCTGTAGGACCTCCAAGGCCTGGCCCCCTGCATCCTCTCTGCCTTCATCTAGTGCATCCTCCTCCCTTACTCCTTGAACATGTCAAGTCTGCTGCAGCCGCAGGATCTTTGCACATGATGTTCCCCCTTCCTGGACTCCTGGGACATTGTTTTGTTCCCTTCATTTTGTTCTCTCCCAAATGCTCCTGAACTAAGAGGCCTCCTCTAGCCTCATATGACCCTTATTTAAAATGTCATAGACCCACACCTGCCACTCTTCCCCCTTTTCTTCCTGGCATTTCTTCATAGCACTTATCACCACCTAACATACTATATACTTATTTATTGCCTGTGTCTCCTCCTTCAGGGCATGTTGGCTTTTCCGTAAGGAGAGTACTGTAGCAGGGTTCACATGCACACACACACACACACACACACACACACACACACACACACACTGAACCACACAGTCTAATCAGCAAGAAAGAAGCACAGTCCCTTTT